ACGACCAACAAAAAATAAAAAATAAATAAATAAAGATAGTGAATTAAACATGTATTTAATTTATCTATACTCTTTCCTTAGATTCTTTTTTTTTTTTTTTTGCCGGTCGTGGGGCCTGAACTCTGGGCCTGGGCACTGTCCCTCAGCTCTTCAGCTCAAGGCTAGTGCTCTACCACTTGAGCCACAGCCTCACTTCTGGCTTCTGCTTATGTGGTACTGAGGAATCAAACCCAGGGCCTCATGCTTCCAAGGCAAGCGCTCTACCACTGAGCCAACTACCCAGCCCTATACTCTTTCCTTAGATCCTATTAACAGAATAAGGAAAATGGTTTAAAACAGAAGCCAACGGTTATAGAACAAAGCAGATGGACAAATTGGTAGCAGATATAGTCCCAGAGGAAGGAAGGTTGAAAACCAATCTGATGCTGGACATTATGCTTGTGATTCTAGCTACTTAGGAGGCTAAGATCAAAGCCAGCTAACCAGATGGAATAAGTACAGAAAGCTCTGAAAAATTAAGTGGATATAGTATGTTTTAAGATATGAAAGATTTATAATTGTAGTATAGGAAAGAATGTGCATAGGACAGGAAGAAAAAGTACATTTATTTCACACTATGGGGAAACTGATAGATGATGCCCAAAATAAAGTCAAGAATTTCATCAAAACATACAGGTCATACACACCTGGCTCAAAACAAATAGTTTTGAAAAAAGCCAAAAAATGGAAAAGAATATTAGAATTAAGGCATACACAACTAGATTGCACATGTAATTTTTATGAAAATATTTGGTTCCTGTACCAAATCCTGGAGAAGAGCATTCCTTTGCAGGTCATGGAAGAGCCATTTTTTTCTGTCACATGTCAGGTGGGCTAGGATACCTGCAGCCAAATAGCTCACTTCTATGTCCTTGCTATGAAGTAAACTGCTTATATGCTTCAGCACACAGTCGGTTATCAGCGTGGGAGAGAGTTCTCTGACTTCGGCTATGTTGTTCTATAGAACAAAGGAAGCAGAGAGCATTAGTGGGCAGGAGGGGAGAAAGAACTAGCTCTTTTTCCAACTAGAAGGAAGATAAATTTCCTAACCTTATTCTCATCTTCCTCTCTCTCAACTTGGCCTACTATCTCTTTTTCTTTTTTTGTCGGTCATGGGGCCTGAACTCTGGGACTGGGCACTGTCCCTCAGCATTTCAGTGCAAGGCTACTGCTCTACTACTTGAGGCAAAGTGCCACTTCCAGCTTTTTCTGCTTATGTGGTGCTAAGGAATGGAACCGAGGGCCTCATGCATGTAAGGCAAGCACTCTACCACTGAGCTACCTTCCCAGCCCAACCTAATACCCTTTGTGAGGCACATGATCACTAATAAATCATTAAGAAGTGGCGCTATGTATGGTTCAAGCGATAGAGTGCTCGCCTTGAGCTGAAGAGTGTAGAGATAATACCCAAGCCCAGAGTTCAAACCCCACAAATGACAAAAAATAAAAAATAATAAATAAAAGTGGAACAAATCACTTAGTAAACACTAAGTACTAGATAAACACATGGTTTCTTTTTAATTTGCTTCTTCACTTTAATGTTTGTAATAATCCTATGACTTGACACTCAGCAAGATTAACTTGTCGAATTCACATTGCTAGTTAATTGCTTGAATTAGAGAGTACAAATTCAGGCCTGTCTCAAATATTTAACACTGCCTATTAAATTTCAAAATTATGTAAGCTTAACAATGAAAATCAGATAATATTATATCTATTGCATTAGTTTAATATGTGTTAGAACAAATTACTCAATAATATGCAGTTACTGCTTCACAATCCCTGTAGGACAGAAGTCTGGGCATGACTCCTTTAGGACCTCTAACTTAGATCTCACTGCAATCAAAGTTTTGAGTGGGCTATAGCCCACTGAGGAGAATCTACTTCCATTCTCACTCAACTGGAAGAATTTTCCTATGGCTGCAGGACTGAGAAATTCAGTTTGTGGTTCAGCTCCTTAAGGCTACCCCCCAGTTCTTGAAATATAGGCTTCTCCATTTTCCAACTTTTTTTTTGGGGGGGGGTCAGTCGTGGGACTTGAACTCTGGGTGTAGGCTCTGTCCCTCAGCTCTTTAGATCAAGGTGAGCGCTCTACCACTTGAGCCACAGCACCACTTCGGTTTTCTGAGTGGTTTATTGGAGATAAGAGTCTCATGGAGTTTCCTGCCCAGGCTGGCTTTGAACCGTAATCCTCAGATCTCAGCCTCCTGAGTAGCTAGGATTACAGGTGTGAGCCACCAAGGCCTGGAATCATCTTCCAACTATTTGCTTTCTAACAGCTTACTCATTCAGTACCAGTGGGGAAAATCCCTACAACATTTCTACTTGGGAATGAATTCATACATAATTAGCATAATAAAGAAGTGATAACATATCATCTTATCAGTTAGAAAAGAAGCAAAGACTGGAAATGTGGCTTAGTGGTAGAGTGCTTGCTAGCATCCATGAAAGCCCTGGTTCAATTCTTCAGAACCATATAAAAAGAAAAAGCCAGAAGTGGTACTGTGGCTCAAGAAGTAGAGAGCTAGCCTTGAGCAAAAAAAGTAGTTCAGGGAAAGTGCTCAAGCCCTGAGTTCAAGTCCCAGGACTGGTTAAAAAAAAAAAAAGCAAGTCATAGGACCTGATCACACTTGAAGGGAGAGAGAATGACAGGTCAGAATTACCAGGAGACTGCTTTCAGATCTCTTCACATAAATGAAAACACAAAAGGCTGAAGAGATTGAACATTATTCGTTTGTTAGTGTTAACTTCAGCTGCCTCATAAGCAGCTTTTAGGAAAGTACCACTGAGCCTAGCTATCAAATGAGATGGACACTCAAATTTTTATGCCCTGGCTGACCACAAAACAGAACCCAGCTGGGCATCAGTGGCCCAAGTCTGTAGTACTAGCTACTCAGGAGGCTGAGATCTGAGGATTATGGTTCAAAGCCAGCCCTGGCAGGAAAGTCCATGAGACTCTTATCTCTAAAAAACCACTCAGAAAAATATACGTGGCACTTTGGCCCAAGTGGTAGAACGCTAGCCTGGAGCTGAAGAGCTGAGGGAAAGCATGCAGGCCCAGAGTTCAAGCCCCATAACAAAAAAAAATTTAAAAAAATTCTCCCAATCTCTGCTACATTATACCTGGCTGGCCCGCTTGCTTGCTTGCTTGCTTGCTTGCTTTCTTCCTTTCTTTCTTGCTCTTCTGAACTGTGTTTTGCTATGTAACCCAGGCTGGCCTCAAACTTGTAACCCTTCCTGTTTCCACATTGTAGGGATCTGGGAATACAGGCCAGTTATCTGCTGATTACATTTTCTCTAGTCAAAAATACTTTTGTTGGGCTGGGAAGGTGGCTCAGTGGTAGAGCATTGCCTTGCATGCCTGGGGCCCTGGGTTCGATTCCTCAGCACCACATAAGCAAAAAGAAAAAAGCCGGAAGTGGCGCTGTGGCTCAAGTGGTAGAGCTCTAGCCTTGAGCTGAAGAGCTGAGGGACAGTGCTCAGACCCAGAGTTCAGGCCCCATGACTGGACCCCCCCCCAAAATAAAAATAAACATTAGAGCAAAGATAACATGGTATCAGTATACAAGAAGAACTCGCATAGTTAAGACTTGACCTCCACTGTTGCTCTGAGACTGCCACTGGAGGAAGCTGATGGAGACAAAGCCGAGCTGATGACTCATTCCAATTCTCATGCATCTTAGATCCATCAGCTTTAGTAAAGCCACTAGATAGACACTGCATCAATAAGACTCCCATGTTAGACGAGCAGAATGTACAGCTGAGGTAAGTTCAAACTCAGTGAGTTCACCCATAGATTTTTTTTAAAAAAAATAATGCAGGTTGGCCTGTAACTCAAAATTCTCTTGCTTTACCCTCTTAGGATAGAAGATTATAGGAATTCACTATTATGTTCCATGGATTCTTAATAAAATGGTTATTGTTTCAAGGGACTAAATTGTTATATGTTTTACTGGAGCAATGTAAAGATTAAATGAATTTATAAACAAACTGCTTACAACAATGCCTAGCATAATACATAATGATTAGTTTTCTTTAAGTAATTAAAATTAATTTAATACAATTCACCTTACCAAAAGACCAAGTATTTTGCTTTGTATTGTGGACTCTGGAAAAGTCTGTCAAAAAAAAAAAAAAAGATTAGTTTGCCATGAAGAAAACATCTTTACATAGGAAAACAATACTATTTTCCTACCTCTAAGACTTGAATGAAGATCTCCAATCCTTGATTTTCAATAAAGTATTTACAGGCAGCAGGAGACTCATCTGTAAGATTCCAAAGTGCTTTCATACTAAACAAGAAGGTGACATCATGTAAGTTCTCAGTAGTCTTTTGTTTCACTATTGCTAGAAGTTCCTAAAAACCAAAGAGATAGGGAATTAGATATTCTCATGACTGACTGAAGCAGTGTTAACATCAAACCTGATTTGTCAACCCAAGGTTTTACCAATCATTTAATGGTTTTGTCTACTATTTTCTTTCTATAATATTATACCTACCTCTTACTTTTTAAGGAAACAGAAGTTTTCCCTAAGACCCAGCCATACCATTCCTAGGCATCTATCCTGAGCAACAGGAACCATGATACAAGGACACATGCACCTCCATGTTCATTCCTGCACTATACACAACAGCCAAGAAAAGGAAACAACCTGGATGCCCCACTACAGATGAATGGATCCCAAAACTGTGGTACCTATATACAATGGAATATTACACAGTCATTAGAAAGAACAAAATAATGGCATTGGCAAGGGAATGGAACTAGAACAAATCATGTTGAGCAAAATAAGCCAAGATCAGAGAGATAAATGGCACATGGTCTCCCTGATATGTGCGGATGTTAAATTCAAAATGCAAGGATATGATAAAGTAAATGAGATTCAGGAAACAAAGGACCTCTTCTTAATTTGTCACATCATTTTTAGATGACTCTGTGTTCTTCACCTCACATATGGATATAGATGTGCACATTTGAGGTAAGCTAGGAAGAGGGTACAGAATCAGAGGAAAACATGAAAAAATACAACAGATGGGCTGGGAAGGTGGCTCAGTGGTAGAGCGCTTGCCTTGCATGCATGAGGCCCTGGGTTCGATTCCTCAG